AAATACGAAAATTAGCGGGGCCTGGTGGTGCGCGCCTGTAGTCCCAGCTACTCGGGAGGCTGAGGCAGGAGAATTGCTTGAACCCAGAAGGCGGAGGTTGCGGTGAGCCAAGATCGTGCCATTGCACTCCAGTCTGGGTAACAAAAGTGAAATTCCGTCTCAAAAAAATAATAAAATTTTTTTTGTTTACTCTTTTTTGTTGAAGACTGAGACACAGACACACACATAAGCCTCGGCCTGCATAGGGTCAGGACCATTCCCTATCACTATCTTCCAACTCCACATCTTGTCCCACGGGGAAGTGCTCAGGGGCAATAGTATTCATGGAGCTGTCATCTCCTATGGTCACCATGCCTTCTTCTGGATGCCTCCTGAAGGACCTGCCTGAGTCTGTGACCGTTCATTTTTTAATAAATAGTCATACACTCTAAAATAACAATAAAAAGTATAGTATGGTAAATACATAAGACAGTAACATAGTTGCTTATTATGATTATCAGGTATCATGAACTATACATAACTATATGCGCTGTACTGTTCTATGACTGCAGCTCAGTACGCTGTGCCCAGCAGCAGCATGACAAACACATGAGTTAAGTCTTGCACTACAACATCACAGATGCTATGATGTCACCAGGCAATAGGGGTTCTTCAGCGCCATTATAATCTCATGGAATCACCATCATGTATGAGGTCCATCGTGGTCCAAAACATCATTATGCAGTGGATGACTGCACACATTCTAATAGAAACACAGGTAGCTATACCTATATACACACGCTATCTACATTTTGTCTGTGTACACATACATATTATATATGACATACTATTTATATATATTATATATTATACTTTATATATATATATAAAATTTTTTTTTTGAGACAGACTCTCACTCTGTCACCAAGGCTAGAGTGCTAGAGTTGGTGTGATCTTGGCTCACTGCAACCTCCACCTCTTGGGTTCAAGCAATTCTCCTGCCTCAGCCTCCTGAGTAGCTGGGACTACAGGCGCCTGCCACCATGCCTGGCTAATTTTTGTATTTTTAGTAGAGACAGGGTTTCACCATGTTGGCTAGGCTGATCTCAGACTTCTGACCTCAAATGATCCACCCACCTTAGCCTCCCAAAGTCTTGGGATTACAGGCATGAGCCACCGCCCCCTGCAAATATATTATCCCTGTATGTACATACACACACACAGAGGGGAGAGATTTATAAGGAACCACCTCATGCAATTACAGAGGCTGAGAGGTCCTAGGACTTGTAGCTGGCAAGCTGGAGATCCAGGAGAGGCCATGGTATAAGTTTCAGTCCAGGTCCTAAGGCAAGAGAAGACCTTTGTCCTGGCGAAAAGATGTTCATATAAGTACCGCGCGCTAACCAATTGTGCCACTGGGCGCGGTGGCTCAAGCCTGTAATCCCAGCACTTTGGGAGGCCGAGGCGGGTGGATCAGGAGGTCAAGAGATCGAGACCATCCTGGTCAACATGGTGAAACCCCATCTCCACTAAAAATACAAAAAAAAATTAGCTGGGCACAGTGGCGCGTGCCTGTAATCCCAGCTACTCAGGAGGCTGAGGCAGGAGAATTGTCTGAACCCGGGAGGCGGAGGTTGAGGTGAGCCGAGATCGCGCCATTGCCCTTCAGCCTGGGTAACAAGAGCGAAACTCCGTCTCAAAAAAAAAAAAAAAAAAAAAAGTTCAGGCCAAGCTAGTGAATTCCTCCTTAGCCTTTTTTATTCTACTCAGGCCTCCAGCAGATTGGATGAGGTCCCTCTATGCTGGGGAAGGCAGTTTGCTTGACTTGGTCTCACAATTCAAATATTGATCACATCCATAAATGCCTTCACAGATACAGCAGAATAACATTTAACCACATTTCTGGGCATCTCAAGACCTAGTGAAGCTGATGTAATATTAACTATCACAGATCTCAAACTGCTTTGGCCCTTTGGAAGTCTCTGACCCAGAGACTCCCCACTTTGTTGCTGAGTGATGTCACCTAGACACATAAGCCCCCTCTTTGACTCCCCTTTGGCCCTGGAGTTCCCTTACCCTCTTCTCCTTCTGAGAGAGTCTTCTGCTATGAGGAAGCCCCTTCTTTGCAAGCAGCCCTGCTCAAGCATCACCCAGTAAAGCTTATTGTGCAATTGCCTCTTCCTGATTCTCCTTGAAACACCCAAGCTGACCACAGCAGTCCTCATTATATCATAAAAGAACTTTCTTTTGACCCTTTCTGTCCATGTCCAAACTGTTGGGAGAAAAAAAGATCACTTTCAAATCAACGTGTCCTCTGCATCAAATCTGTCTCCAAGGGGCTGGGCCCAGTGGCTCACGCCTGTAATCCCAACACTTTGAAAGGCTGAGGTGGGCGGATCACTTCAGGTCAGGAGTTCGAGACCAGCCTGGCCAACATGGCAAAACCTCATCTCTACTAAAAATACTAAAATTAGCCAGGCACGGTGGTGGGCACCTGTAGTCCCAGCTACTTGGGAGCCTGAGGCATGAAAATAGCTTGAATCCAGGAGGTGGAGGTTGCAGTGAGCCAAGATCACACCACTGCACTCCAGCCTGGGGAATAGAGAGAGACCCTGTCTCAAAAAAAAAAAAAAAATGTGTCTCCAAGTTCCTTGAATTTCTTATCCCTAGCTCAAGAATTCTGGGTAGAGCATGCATTGGGAAAGGAGAAGCAGGCAGGGTGAATTAATATCCTGTCTTCCACTGAAGCTTCTTTCAATCAACTTGGCAAAGTCAGAGCTTAAAACGCAAACTACTTTGAGACCTTTAGTGGTTCCCAAGTACTGAAAAGATTATGACACCCACTATGAACTTCAAATAAGACCAATGCTAAGCCATAAAACTCAAAACTTATATGTATGCTGAAAGCAAAAATAATTTCTAGATCCTTCTGGATGCAAAGTGCTAACTGAGTTTATTGAAAATGAATGTTTTATTTAAATTTTTCTTATTCTGCTTTGTTTTTGAGCCTGTGACTTTCTGGCATGCTTAGTACAAGGCAATCCTATATGGCTTATACTCAAATATGATGAGAAATCAAAAATCTCTGAACCAGGATCACATTTGTGCTTATCATGGTGCATGGCATGCAGAAGGTGCTTAATAAATGTTTGCACTCATTTGGAAAATAAAATAGAAAATTATAATGACCACTTTAAAGCCACATACTGTGGAGAACTGTATTTTGCTTCCAGCTCTCCTTAAGCCACTAAAATAATGTGACATGGAAAGTATTGTACTATATTTATTGTTGTTTCTTTTTTAAAAAGAATATAAAGCTCCAGTTTCAATAAAAGCTGTAAAAATATCAAAAGGGAAAACAGTTCCTTCTTATCCAAACATTCAAGATTTCTAAATTTAAATAGTGAGGTTTTTTTCCGCCTCAGATCTCTTTTTGGTAGATGGAGGCTACACTGTTATGTAACTCTTTCTGTTGCCAAAAGACAATGTAAATTAACCAAAAGGTTAAAACTGTACCTTTAAAAATATCTTAGACATTTGTTTGAATCATGGAAAGAAAGAGTGGAAGGCAACTGACCTCTGATCTTTCGTTTGCCTTGTTATTTGGTAATTAATATTTAGAAATGTTCTTTCCATCACAAAAATATTGGAAATTGTTAATGTTCCTCATAAAAAATACGACAGACAGAACTTGTAAAATCCTATTTATAGCCTTTTCAGCAGAAAACTAAAGAATAATTGATTTGGCTTATTAAGCTCTGCCTATCCCTATCTGGAAGCCAACAAAACTCCAAACTCCCAAGTTCTTAAATGTCAGAACCCTGTGATTAACTATCTTGGTATCTACAATCTGTCTGAGGCTATTATCTGTGGAAATGTATTTGCTTCTGCCAAATGTATTATTATTCCCTAAAACACTGGGTGGTTGGGATTTTCTCTTGGTTAAAAGTTATCTAATATTAAAATGAGCACATATTTTCAACTCCTGGAGAGATGTACCCCAGCAAGGGAGTGCAAACCAGAGAGAGACAACATCTTCCAAAACTTCAGATCAGCCTCAAGTTAGCTCAGTTCATAATTAGATTAAGATGATCGAACTCACTCTGTCTTCCTAACCAAAGTTTGCAGCACACACCTCTGGAAAAAGATAATAAAAATATCATCCTTAACTGCAGCATTCTTAACTGGGGGTCTATTTACTCAAAAAGAGTCTGTGGCTAGCATTCCTGGTATGATTTGGCTCTGCTTCCCCACCCAAATGTCATCCTGAGCTCCCATAATTCCCACTTGTTGAGGGAGGGACCCAGTGGGAGATGATTGAATCATGGGGGTGGGTCTTTCCCATGCTGTTCTCTTGATAGTGAATGGGTCTCATGAGATCCAATGGTTTTAGAAATTCGAGTTTCTCTGCTCAAGCTCACTTGCCTGCTGCCACTCGCTTCTCCTTGTCTTCTGCCACGATTGTGAGGCTCCCCCAGCCACATGGAATTTTAAGTCCAGTTAAACCTCTTTCTTTTGTAAATTGCTCAGGCTTGGGTATGTCTTTACCAGCAGCATGAAAACGGACGGTTTTCACATAATTGGTTATACTTTCATATAATTGGTTTTTTGTAATCGCATAGATTTCATTTTCTGCATTTAAAAATATTCTTCAAGAAGGTCTTAAACTTCTCCAGATTGAAAAAGGATTCCTGAGACACATTTCTTATATACAATGTCCAGAATTCAACCAAAAGTTTCCAGGAACACACAGACAAAATAGAACCAAGAATAAAAATCAGTTTCATTTCTATATACTAGCAACAGGAAACCTAAGTATAACAGCCCCCTGCCACCTACAATAGCAGCAAAAATTGTAGGGTGCCTAGAAATAAATCTAAGAAAATATGTGCAAGACCATTGCTCAGAAAATTATTAAAACTTTTGAAATTTATTTTAAAAGAACTATAAATGGAAAATATTTTATATTCATGTGTAAAAAATTCTTAATATTATAAAGGCACAATTGTCCTCCAAAACTTATCTATACATTCTATACAATTCCAAATAAAATCTCAACAGGATTTTCATTTAACCTGAAAAAATATTCCAAAATGTATGTGAGATGTCAAAGATTTAAAATAGGTTAGTTCTGGGCCGGGCGCGGTGGCTCATGCCTGTAATCCCAGTACTTTGGGAGGCCGAGGCGGGCAGATCATAAGGTCAGGATATCCAGACCATCCTGGCCATGGTGAAACCCTGTCTCTAATAAAATACACACACACACAAATTAGCCGGGTGGGGGGCAAGCACCTGTAGTCCCAGCTACTCGGAGGCTGAGGCAGGGGAATCATTCAAATCCGGGAGACAGAGTTTGCAGTGAGCCGAGTTTGTGCCACTGCTCTCCAGCCTGGCGAAAGAGCAAGATTGTGTCTAAAAATAAATAAATAAAATAAAATAGGTTAGTTCTGCAAGGATACATGTGAAAGTGATTTATTAGGAAGTACTCCCAGAAAAAAACATAGTGCAACAGAGAATGCAAATGAATCCAAAAGGATCTGGGGAGAGCCCTGGCAGCAGTCGCTCTATCATCCCTAACAAAATGAACAGCAGAGGGAATTGCCCTCCAGACATCAAGACTTATATGAGGCTATGGCAATTACAGCATTGTGGACTTGCCAGAGAAATTTTTTAGCATTGACCAGGGGAAAATTCAGAGTGCTGGCAGAGCCATGCTCATTCTGAAAGCACTAGAGAAGAACACTTCCTTGCCTATTCCCAGCTCCTGGAGGTTGCTGGCAATCTTTGGTGTTTCTTGGCTTGTAGATGCCTCACTCCAACTTATCCTTCTTGTATTAGTCTGTTTTCACAAGACTAGGCAAGGTACAAAAGAGAAGTTTATTGGACTTATGGTTTCAATAAACCTGGGGAGGCCTCACAATCACGGCAAAGGTGAAAGACACATCATACATGGCGGGAGATAAGAGAAGAGAGCTTGTGCAGGGAAACTCCCCTTTTAAAAACCATCAGATCTAATGAGACTCACGCACTATCAAGAGAGTACTGCAGGAAAGACCTGCCCCATAACTAAATCACCTCTCCAGGGTTCCTTCCATGACATGTGGGAATCGTGTTAAGTTACAATTCAAGACGTTATTTGGGTGGGAACACAGCCAAACCATATCACACCACCCCTGGCCTCTGTCAAATCTCATCTCCTCACATTTCAAAATAAATCATGCCTTCCCAACAGTCCCCCAAATTCTTAACTTATTTCATTGTTAACTCAGAAGTCCACAGTCCAACATCTCATCTGAGAAAAGGCAAGTCCTTTCTGCCTATGAGCCTGTAAAAAAACAAATCAAGCTAGTTACTTCCTAGATACAATTGGGGTAGAAGCATTGGGTACATGTAGCTATTCCAAATGGGAAAAATCGGCCAAAACCAAGGGGCTACATACCCCATGCAAGTCCCAAATCCAGCAGGGCAGTTAAATCTTAAAGCTCCAAAATGATCTTCTTTGACAACATGTCTCACATCTGGGTCATGCCAATGCAAAAGGTGGGTTCCCATGGTCTTGGGAAGCTCTGCCTTGTGGTTCTGCAGGGTACAGCCTCCCTCCTGGCTGCTTTCACAGGCTGGTGTTTAGTGTCTGCACCTTTTCCAGGCACATAGTGCAAGCTGTCAGCGGATCTATCATTCTGGGGTCTGGAGGACAGTGGCCTTCTTCTCACAGCTCCGCTAGGCGGTGCCCCAGTAGGGACTCTGTGTGGGGGCTCTGACCCCACATTTCCCATCCACACTGCCCTAGCAGAGGTTCTCCATGAGAGCCCCACCCCTGCAGCAAACTTCTGCCTGGGCATCCAGGTGTTTCCATACATCTGAAATTTAGGCGGAGGTTCCCAAACCCCCAGTTCTTGACTCCTGTGCACTTGCAGGTGCAACACCACATAAAAGTGGCCACGGCTTGGGCCTTGCACCCTCTGACACCATGGCCTGAGCTCTACACTGGCTTTTTAAAGCCACACCTGGAGCGGTTGGGACACAGGGCACAAAGTCTCTAGGCTGCACATAGCATGGGGACCCTGGGCCCAGCCCACAAAACCACTTTTTCCTCCTAAGCCTCCAGGCCTGTGATGGGAGGGGCTGCTATGAAGACCTCTGACGTGCTCTGGAGACATTTTCCCTATTGCCTTGGGGATTAACATTTGGCTCCTCATTACTTATGCAAATTTCTGCAGCCAACTTGAATTTCACCTCAGAAAATAGGCTTTTATTTTCTACCACATTGTCAGACTGCACAAATTTTCCAAGCTTTTATGCTCTATTTCCCTTTTAAAACTGAATGCCTTTAACAGCCCCCAAGTCACCTCTTTAATGCTTTGCTGCTTAGAAATTTCTTCCACCAGATAACCTAAATCATTTTTCTCAAGTTCAAAGTTCCACAAATCTCTAGGGCAGGGGCAAAATGCTGCTAGTCTCTTTGCTAAAACATAACAAGGGTCAACTTTACTCCAGTTCCCAACAAGTTCCTCATCTTTATCTGAGTCCATCTGTTCTTCATATTATCATCAGCATTTTGGTCAAAACCATTCAACAAGTCTCTAGGAAGTTCCAAACTTTCCCACATCCTCCTGTCTTCTTCTGAGCCCTCCAAACTGTTCCAGTCTCTGCCTGTTACCCAGTTCCAAAGTTGCTTCCACATTTTGGGGTATCTTTTCAGCAATGCCCCATTCTGCTGCTACAATTTACTGCATTACCAATTTTCCCCATTCTACTGGTACCAATTTAATGTTTTCACACTGCTGATAAAGACATACCTGAGACGGAGCAATTTACTAAAGAAAGAGGTTTATTAGACTTACAGTTCCAAGTGGCTGGGGAGGACACACAATCATGGCAGAAGGTGGAAGGCACATCTCGCACAGCGGCAGACAAGAGAAGAGAGCTTGTGCAGGGAAACTTTCATTTTTAAAACCATCAGATCTTGTGAGACTCATTCACTATCATGAGAACAGTGCAGGAAAGATTCACCCACATAATCAAATCACCTCCCACCAGGTTCCTCCCATGATATGTGGAAATTATGGGAGTTACAATTCAAGATGATATTTGGGTGGGGACACAGCCAAACCATATCACTTCTGTCTTCACATGGTTCTCTTATAAGGACATCTGTCATTGTCTTTAGTGTCGACCCTAACCCAGCATAACATCAATATAATTTAAATAATTACAGCTATAATAACCTATTTACAAACCAGGTCCCATTTTGAGGTCCAGGTGGACATGAATTTGGGGGGAGGCAGGGACACTATTCAACTCAGTAGAGCATATGGCTAAGAGTCATAAAAAGATGCTAAACCACTTTTATGATCTGGTAAATGTAAATTAAGTCCACACATTATACCATTTACACCCTGCAGATTGGCAAACAACGAGAAGTATGAAAAGAACGTGGATCAAGTAAATTCATATATCACGGATGGGAGTGTAAATTGGTTCACTTGATCTGACTGGCTGAACTTGAAAGCACTTTGGAATTGTTTTATAAACCTGACCTAGGACTCTTACTCCTAGGTATACACCCAAGAGAAATTCTTGCAGACGTGTACAAGGAGACATATATAGAAAAGTTTTTAAGCAGCAATGTTTCCACATTTCAAAAAAAAAACCTGGAAATAGTCCACTGACAAGAGGATAAATAACATTTTATATATTTACCCACTGGAATATATTTTAGCATTCAAAATAAATGAAGTACACTACACACAAAGACATTGAATCACTCTGCATTGATGCTGAGTGGAAAAAAGAAAACCACATAGAATATGATGTGATTTTTAGAGACTTTAAAAACACACAAAATAAACTATATATTATGTAGCACACAGATACGATAAAATGTTAATTGCAAGAGAGTGATACAGAGAAAAAATTTAGGGTAGCGGTCAATGCAGGCATAAGCACGTTAAACATGGGCATCATATCTGCCTTGATGGAATTTTCAAAAGCAAAATCTGAGTGTGATACACAGGAAGGCAAAAGGGAAATCAATCATTTGTTAATAGTACATGTATATATATCTGAAAGCTCTCTTCGTCCATTCATTCAACCTTTATTGAGACATGAAAACTGCTAAAGGTGAGGCCTCTCCGGAGACTTGTTGCTAAAGACAAAGGGCGGGGGGACCTGGGCTGGATCATTCTGGGAAAGGAAAGGCTCCAAACTGCAGGGGGGAGGTAGGGTGCATAAAAATATTTTGTTTTAAAACATTTAAGCTCCTTGGTGAAAGCAGATGTCTTAGGTTGGTACAAAAGTAATCACAGTTTTTGCCTTTACTTTCCATGGCAAAAACTGCAATAACTTTTGCACCAACCCATGGATACCTGCTAATGATTACATAATGTATCTTTCATTCATAACTGTGTGTACTGTTAATCTCTTTATCAAACCAGTTTCATTCTTCTTAGTTCCTTGTTTTGCCATGCTCTTGGCCTTGTGCATTGTCATCTAATTTATCTTCTATTCTCTCCAAGACGCTTTAGCACTGCCCTGCAGGCTTCCACCCCCATCTGCTTATACCTTCCCTCTGTACCCTCCCACTTCCAGGCTCTGCTCCAGAGCATTTATGCTGTTTGTGGCCCTCAGGGCACAGGACCATGGGATCCGTTTTTAGCAGGAACAACCACCAGGTGAGATGGACTTGCAAGGTGGGAATTCCAGATACTCCTCGGAATCAGTACTCAAGTCCCCACACAAAGTTCTCCTCTATCTGGGTTCTTCTCTTGTTTGCAAGCAGTGTTGATGCAGCTGAATGCAGAAGCTTCCATTAAAACCTGAAAACAGAACACTGGAGCAGCCCCAGTTCCATTTCCTCCACAAAGTGCAAGCGTAACAACCCCACTGCAGCAGCTGGGCTGGAGGAGGAAGGCAGGCGAACACGTGAAGAGCCAGAACACCAAGACTCGTTTCTCAACAGCGCAGCTCCGCACCACTTATCTCTCTGAAAGATCTGAAGCTTGAAGGAATGTCTTAATCTTTCCCCAGTGATTCCTCATGGCATCTATATGACATGTCAATTTCTCAACTTCCTCTTCAGGATAAACAGTGAAAGCGGATCTTTGGTCAGTATGGCAATGAATCTAATACTGAGTTAGAAGAAGAGCAAAGCTGTGGGCGCAGGCCATCATAGTTTGAATTCTGGTTCTAACACTGACTAGTTTCAGGACAGTGGAAATGTGTGGAGAGGTAGAATCTCCTTTGACTCAATCTGTTCTAATCTCAGGCTGTGAATTAGCCAGGGGCTGAGACCTCTGCTGGGAATGCTTCCTGAGAACGTTTTCCCTGTGAAGATCTCCACCATTCAACAGATACTTCTGAGATCTAAGATCCACTTTCTGCCTCATCTTCCACATCAGCCCTTTTACTGAACTCGGATCAGCTCTGATGAGCCCCTCTGGTCACTTGGGGTCACCTCTTACCATGTGAGAGAGAGGGCATGGGCTCATCAGGCTTCACAGTCCACTTCCCAAGCATTATAACTTCCTTCTGTTCTTCACTGTGCTGTTGTCTGCACAGGGAGGGGAAGGGCAGGGCCCAGGGGCTGTCATATTTCTGTAGCCCTCAGCAATGTTCTGATGTTACTGGCATTGTCTTCCCTCACTTTGGTATACCAACTTTATGAAAAATAAGGAAAATCATCAGAAGTTAGTGTCTTAGTCTGTTCAGGCTGCTATAACAAAATCCCATAAACTGGGTGGCTCTCACACTTTTGGAGGCTGGAAAGTCTAAGGTCAAGGCACTGGCAGGTTCAGTGTCTGGTGAGGGCTGCTTCCTGGTTCATGGACAACATGTTCTCATGGTGTCCTCAGATGGTGGAAGGGGTGAGGGAGCTAATGGGGCCTCTTTTGTAAGGGCACTAATCTCATTCATGAGGGCCCTGCCTTCAGGACCCATTTACCTCCCAAGAACTCTACCTCCAAATGTCATCACATGAAGGGTTAGGATTTCGACATATGAATCTGGGACTACAGAAGCTTTCCGGACATACCAGTTGGGCAGAAAGTCTGCAAGGAGAAGTCAAAGCACGCAGAAATAGTCTAGAATGATAGTGCTCGAAGCACTTTGGGAGAGGGTGCTAAGCCACTGTCCTGGAGGAGAAAATGGCTGGACATGGAGGACTAAGGCCACCAGGCTGATAGACACGCTTTATCCATATAGAGGTAATATAGATGATTCTTTTCCATATGTCTACAGCTAAAATTCAACTGGGAAATACCATTTTTCTTAGTCTGTAGAAATGAAAGGAAAGATCTGGGGATGCTCAACCCTCCAAATACACAGTCAGCATTGTCATTCACTCACTGGGCAAGCAAGCTCCTAGCTTAGTCAGATGCAAAAGGAAAACTGCCCCTCCGCTTTCATTTATTTTCTCTCTTCTTGGAAGAAGAAGGACAGGAAGGGCTCAGTGGCTCAGTTCAATTCTCCTAAATATTCAAACATCCTCAACTAGAGCTAACGAGCCTGAAGGATTTCTAATGATGTTTTATGGTGTCATTATTTTAAGTGTTTTAAGGAATGTTTTGAGCTTTTGACATTTGCCTAAGAGCAACTAATTCTAAAGGGTACACTTTGATTAAAGGCATACATCAATAAATCAATGTGATCATGACCCTTGCAGCTGAGTTCCTGAAATATTTATCCTGCAACTTGGGACAAGGCTTATGTTCCTTGTTGAAGATAGTGATGGTACAGAACCTACAAGTGCTAATCAACCCAGTATGAGGAATGTTCTGGTTTTTAATTTGTTAGCAACTACATTTTATTCATGCTGTACCCAGAAGCCATATGTGAGGTCCTTATCTTTCTAAAAACCCAACACAAAATTCTTGTGCATGAACATTTTATTCCTGATCTCTAAAAAGTTTCAATAACTCCCTCTGAATCCAGAGAATATAGTGTGATACAAGTGAACAAAATGGTCCCTGAGGATATAGAATTGGAATTCTATTACAGCTAATGTACCTACTACAGAAAAATCTCTCATTTTTTAAATCACCTTGTGATTGACCCAAAACAGAATTTCTCAACTTAACACCAATCTCATCTATCAGGTTTGGATCAGGATGTCTGCTGATCCTTCTGCAAAGTTAAATCCACCAGGAAACAAGGAAGATTTGTCACCCCTGAGGTCAGGATTGTCAAACAGATGTGCTGCAGCCACACTGGAGAAAATTTCAGAAGGGGAAATTCCCAAAACACTCTTCGCTGGAGGTGGCAAAGTTCAGCCACTACCAAATCCGGCTGCCACCTGTTTTTGTAAAACCTGCAAGCTAAGAATAGCTTTTTACATTTTTAAATGATTGAAGGGGGAAAAAAAGAATTTTTATGACATGAAAATTACATGAAATTCAATTTTTGGTGTTCGTAATGAATTTGTTGGTGTGCAGCCATCCTCGTTCCTCTAAGCACTGTCTGCTTTCACACACCCACGGAGCTGTCATCGCAGCACAGGCTGCACAGTCCACAAAGCCAAGAGCGGCTGCTGTCCGGCCCTCAACAGCGGCTTCATTGGAATCAGGGGAGTCCGCACTCACTTGGCAATATAGGTTTGTAATGGGTTGTTTAATTGGCCTCGTGTCTTTGCCCCCAGCTGGAGACAATGCCAGTGTTCCATTCACTGGAGTGAAAAAGAACAGGTTTGTCTTCATCCTTCATCACCCAAGCATTGGCTTGGTGCCCGCCTCAGGGCCACGTGCTGCCCAGCATCCTGAGAAACACATCGAGTGCCTTGAAAGTACAATAACTAACTTGTTGATTGTGGTAAAATATACATAACCTAAAATTTACCATCTGAACCATTTTTAAGAATACAGTACAGTGGGGTTAGCTCCATGCCCATTGTTGTGCAACCGATCTCCACAACTTTTTCATCTTCCCAAACTGAAATTCAGTCCCTATTAAACACTACTAACTCCCCACTCTCTCCTCCCTCCAGCCCCTGGCCACCACCATTCTACTTTCCGTCTCTATGAAGCTGGCAACTCTAAGTCCCTCCTATGTGTGGAATCATACAGTCTTTGTCCTTCTGGGACTGGCTTATTTCACTTTGCATAAGGTCCTCAAGAAATAATTAACATTTGCTTGATGCTTGAAATTTTACACAGAATCTCAGAATGTCCTTATGCGTTATTTCACTTACTTGGCACAGCTCCTTTGTGGGGTCGGCTACTTTGATTCCATGATAGCAGATGCTGTTGGTCAGCCCTGAAGCCACTCCTGTGGTCACTTGCAGGTAGAGCCTGTACCTGCCCATGGCTCCCTGCGCTGCTGTGCCTGGACATATTCCCTGCTATGCATCATGCTCAGCCTAAGCACAGGGCAGGCCAGGACGAGCTGGGAGTTGACATGGGGGTGACTTTCCCTATCGAGGGGAAGGAGGTGGGAGTCAGCACCACGGCACCTTTGCCCCTCCAGGAGGATAGTTCTGAGGTGGGGCCTCACTGTCCTGGGCCCTTGTTCACCTTCACTCATGCATTGTTGACTTCCTCCTTTCTCTGTCCAAATTCTCCACTTCCTCCCATGCTCTTAGGGATGACACCTACATAAATTACTTGCACTAAATCCTTGTCTCAGGATCTGCTTTGGGTGGAACTCCTACTCAGTCACCAGTCACAGAGATTCACTTGTTGACTTTCGCCCAGCTACTAAGTAGACAGTCAGGCTTCTAGTCCTGTTATCTCATTCCTGAGGTCTCTGCTTCAGCCATTGAAAGGCTGGTGTTGGCCAAAAGGCACCATACAGGGAGCGTTAGCATCAAGTCTGCAAATCACTCATTCCCACAGGAACACCTACAGGAACAACCACCTCGACCAGGGCACCTGGCAAAGATGCTGAAGCCCTTAGACTGCTCTGTAGAAACGTTATGCTCCGTGAACCAGTCTTATTTCCAGCAGGATATCCCTAACCTGTCAAGATTGTTTATCACAAATAAATGTGGGATTTATAGATTTTGGGGGCAGGGAAGGCTGGAGAAGGGGGGCAGATAGCGTGTAAGTATATTCTCCCTGTGTAATGACCAAAATGCAAACTGGAGGCAACCCCAAACTCCACCGGTTTCCTGTGAGGACAATGTGTCTTTACATACATTCCTCAAAATTCATCAGTCAATGTGAAATAAAGTGTGTGCCAATGTAGGAGGAGACATTTTGGGGGAGCTCAACAAGGTGGCAGAATAGAAGATTCTCTGGACTCATTCCCCCCACAGAAATATATTCAAACTATTCAAAGACAAGAATACCACCCTGAATTCACCAGAACTTGTGGGAGAAGCTGAGAAACCCCGGGGTCCACAGAATTGAAAGAAGCCACAACTGGTAAGAGAAACAGTAATTTCAGACCATGCCACCACCCTCTGCTGTCATAATGCCACTCGGTGACAGGGAGGAATTAGAGGGGAACATTCTATCTCCCCACTGATCTGGTAATCTTCATGTAACACCCACTCTGACCCCGTCCCACAGGAACCACCAGGAATGCCAGGATAGCTGAATGACCGGGGGTGAACTTGGGACAAAAAGTCAAGCACTGATTGCAGCAACTGGTCTCACTCTGTCGCCTAGGCAGGAGTGCAGTGGTGAGATTTCTGCTCACCACAACCTTTGCCTCCTGGGTTCAAGTGATTCTCCTGCCTCAGCCTTCTGTGTAGCTGGGATTACAGGCACTAACCACCATACTGAGCTAATTTTTGTATTTTTAGTAGAGACAAGGTTTTCACCATGTTGACCAGGCTGGTCTCGAAAGCCTGACCTGAGGTGATCCACCCGCCTCAACCTCCCAAAGTGCTGGGATTACAGGCATAAGCCACCATGCCCAGCCAATATTTCTGTCTTTACTTAATGGTTACTTTCACTGAATATCAGAAAGTGGGCACTATTTGCAAAACTATCTGAAGGCTTCAGCAGTTTTCCCAAGAGCCTCTCTTCAACATTTGATATTCAAACCCGTCTTTTTAGAAGCTCCCATCTCACCATCATCCTTGTTTATTTTCCTCTGATCCAACTGGTAACAGGTCTGACTCTGCTTCACATCTTTTATCAAGAGTTGAAGTGTTACTTTAGCAGTTCTGTGATACCTCCCTTGCCAACTTTAGAGAATCCTGAATGTTCGCCTAGATCATCAGTTTAAGCTCGAGGACAATTTGCATAGTGTTTACATTGGCTCTTAGGCATCACCAGACTGACCCACAAAAATGTAGGTGAGGCAGGGAAGAGACTGTGGTGTAAGCAGGGAGAGGCCTGATGGGATCAATTTTATAAGTGATACATTGGCTAATGTTTTCATATTGAGGATTTTTGCTTCCCACATAACCTTGCAAAGTTAAATAGTCAAATTTTAGGTAAAGAGTAAAAAAGGTTCCTGTTTGTGGAATCAAACAAGCGAGTACGCGATTGCTCCCACCTCCTCCTTTCTTCACTCCTACCACCCGCTCCTCACCTCCTCATTCAGCAGCCTGAACACCTGGCTGTCTTGTCTTGCGCTGCTCCTCTCCATGAGAAACAGCACAGGAAAAAGTATGCCTGGCTTAAAGTGTTATCCTTTCCAGGGATGATTTGTAATTTTATAAGAGGTTGAAAAAAAGACAAATTTCAACCTAACGGAGTTACTCTTCTGATGGTGAAATTGTAGGGACATCCATAAAGCGTCTTCTCAGTGCTCCTTACACAACTCCATGAAGGCAACCAGTAATCCCATCTCCATCTCCATCTCCATCAGTCACTGGGGTTGTGAGGCACAAAGGGAGGGATGGCTGTTGGTGGCTCTCCAGTTGCTCATCTCAGCTCATACAATTCTGTCTCCAGAAAAATAAGCAGCATGTGTGGTGGGAAGCAGGCTAGTCAAGACCAGTGGTCTGTTTGCCAACCCTCCTCCATCCTGCTTCCTGAAAATTCTGCCCTCCCTTATCCTGGACTGAAATTGATGGTGCAGGAGAGAGGGGGAGAATTGCCGGAGAAATGCCATCAGGAAGGCAATAGGGAAAGGGGGCTGGAGCATCTTAGCCAGGGTGTCACCTTAGCCAGGGAGGGACATACCAAGTTCCCCCTGAGTACCCAGGAGAGAGGCCAGTATGCAGGAGATGTAGCTAGATCAGCAGGGGATGGCAGGGATGTCTGGAAGCATTCTTCCAGTTGCTTCTATTCCCTTTGTGCAAAGTGGAGCCAGCCATCATTTGCCAAGAGTGAGGACAGGAAAGATATGGAAAGTTTGAGAAAGAAAAAGCATGGCACAGTTATCCAGGAACTCAGCTTCCAGAGGATTTCCTGAGTCTCTGATGCTTGAGCTGGATGCAGATGGATAAATGGAGTTCGCTAGATTTTAAAAAGGTGGAGCAATCTGTGCAAAGGGAATAGCATAGCAAGGGGGACAGGGTGACTAGTGGTGTCCTTCACTGAAAAAGGAATAGGGGTGGGCTGGGTACAGTGGCTCATACATGTAATCCCAGCTACTAAGAGGAGACTAAGGTAGGAGAATTGCTTGAACCCAGGAGGCATGAGCCGAGAACACACCACTGTACTCCAGCCTGGGTGACAGAGCAAGACTCTGTCTAAAAAAAAGGAATGGGGCATGGTGGGGAAATGAATAGGTTACAAGCACTTGTAAGACATTGGATCAAAAAGTCCATTAGATGATTGGACATGTTATATGTAAATTTTCAGGGCCTCAAAAAAAGTAGCACTCAAATATTAATTTTCTCAGCAAGGCAATTTACTTCTCTAGAAGGGTGTGTCTCACAGATGGAGCAATGGTGAGAGCACACCTGGACAAGGGAGGGGAATGGGGTTCTTATTCCTGACACAGGTAGCCCCTACTGCTGTGTCGATCCCCTATTGGCTAGGGTTAGACCACACAGTCTAAACTAATTCTGATTGGCTATTTTAAAGAGAGCAGGGGTACAAGCCAGAGTGGTAGGGTGGGTAGTTTGGTGGGAAAAACAGTTAGGAACAAGTCAGAGCAGGTGACCAGGAGAAGAGATGTGAACTACTGATTAGCAGGAAAGTTGTTTACTGAAACTAGAGGCAAGGGGGCACAGAGAACCAGGAAGTTAAACTTTAAAATGGAGAACTGAATTAGAGAGCTGAACATACTGACATACTGATTCTTTGAAGAGAAACTTGGAGTTCACTATATCTAATAGATACACAGGACTGGAGCCCAGCAAAGAATTCTGGTCAGCAAATGTCAATGTGAGGTTCATTAATAAGCAGGTGGTTATCAGTCCAGATCCAGGGAGAGTTCTCAGGAAGGGGAGAGCTGAGGTCCAGCCACTGAATCATGGAAAATGTGGCCATTTATGGGAGGAGCAGTAGAAGAGGGAGGAGAGAAGTGAGAGGATTCCAATCGGGAAGACAGGATTCAAAAAGAGAGCTGGAGAGAAAAAGTAGCAAACTACAATCCAAGAAAAGAGATCGTTTCAGGAAGACTGTGGGCACTAAATGTCACAAAAGGCATAGGTAGAAAACAGCCCATCAGATTTAGCACCGTGGAAGTTACTCACCTTCCTAGCTGTACCAATTTCTCTATGACATTCAGGCTGCAAGACAACTGGCAGCATGTTGAGGGGTAAATTGTGGCAAGAGGCAGGACAGTGAGTGTGGAAGAGCCTATCTAGAAGGTGGTTTGGAAGGAAGGGAGGGAGGGGAGATAAAAGCTGGAAAGGACTATGGGGCAAAGAAAGGCTTCTGGTCAGGCGGAAACAATTGAGCCTATTTATATGTGCAAAGGAAACAGCCAAGAGAGGGGTGCAGTGGATTCGACCACCACAGCAAATAAGCTGGGGCTACAGCAGTGAGCAAAGCTATGTCCCTGCCCCCAAGGAGCTTATAGTCTAGTGTGAAGAGACAGAGGATGAGCAAATAAGCAAATCAATATATAGCACGATGAGTGCAAGTATATCCCCACCCCAGTGGGCAGGGGAGGGGACAGAAGCTGGTGTGTGCAGTGTGGGGGTGGCAGGAAGAGCCCCTCCTGCAGTGACCTCTGCCACACAATTTTTTTTCCTAACACTTGCCTAACAAACTGTGCAGCCTGGCATTGTAGTTATGCGGTATCTCCCTCCTATGACACACGGCAGGGGTTTCCACTTCCCCGTCTTGGCCATGCCCACATTAGGGTGTTCTGCAGAGAAGGCTGTCCATGAGTATTTGTAGCAGGAATACTACAAACCCTTGCCCTGCAGTTAGGACAGGCATTATCAAAACAGTCTCCTCCTGGACCCGGGGAATTCTCAGAAGTGGCACCTAGTAACCTAAAATGACTTAAGCAAATTGTCTGAATGCCTAAAGCGTACAAATTATTTCATATTCTCTACACATTTGCAAATTTACTTAAATCTTGTTTTAGTTTTAACTTTACAGTTCACTTTGGGAATGGGTTTAGGGGAAGAGAGAAAGAAATCAGTCTTTATAACCCTGCTAAACTCTGAACCCTATCTCTTGGTAAAGCATCATTTTAAAAGTTAGAAAAATTTTTGTATTGATTATCACATGTGATTTCCCCACTTTATCTGCAGAAAAACAGTCACTAGGGGCTTCCTATTGGTTCACCATATTTTCCTTTAGTAGAAAGTCCTTGTGTCTGATAGTCTTTAGGGTCCTCTCTGAGACTAAGATCCCCTTTGAGATGAGACGGGGTTGTCCCCTTTCTCTATCCCAGAGCCCAGCACGCAGCACACACAGGAGAGGACAGGAAACAGAGGGGAGTCACTCTGATCTCCACATTCTGTTCTTCCCAGGGAAGATACTCCATTTTCAACCAAAAACAAGATCATTCTAAATGTCATTGCTCCACACCCCATCTGGGCTTCTGAAAGCAAGCTGCCTTGTTTCTGAATCAGATGTCGTCACCCACTGAAAAGCCTCCTGCATCCAAGCTTGGCTGGCAGCGGGGTCCTGGCTTGAGGGGAGAGACTCATCTTCCCCAGCAAAGCTGCCCCCGTCGTTTCTTTTGAGGATGGGGAAGGACAAGCAGCAACAGAGAACTCAATTTCATCACCGCCTCTCTGACCTTTTAAAGAGCAAACAGTTAAAACAAATACTAACAGGCTTGTTTCTATGGGCTTGAACATTTTACAACCTGTAGAATCACGTGACACATTGTCATTGTTGTGGAACTCCTAGAAAGGACAGAAGGAAATAAACATAGCTATGCAGTCATAGGCTGAGACGGGCTTCACAGCTAAAACCCAGGACATGCGATGTCTGGCGGGCGACTCATGGCAGGCAAGAGGCAGAGCCCACCCTGGGGTGCTGAGGAAAGATGCTGAGGAAGTCGTGCAAGGATCTGTCATAAGCAAAAATGTCAGAGTCCTCCAGGATGTGACCACATTCTCATTAACCCTTGCCACTGAGCCTCCTTCCAGGCATGTTGCAAAAAAAAAAAAAGCCTCAGGAGGAGAGGAGGCAGAGAGGTGCAGGGACCCGCACTTGGCTGCAGGTGAGAATTCTGGCTATAAACAACCCATTGCTTTGTGGGGGAGGAGGGCCACAGTCACCCCCAGGAACTCATACATTCAACTCCATTCGTAAAAGTTTATATGCAATCAAAGGATTTCAAAACACAGACTTTCATTTCATCTAGTATTCCCACAGAGGGAAGGGAAGCCATGGGAAACTCCTCAACTGGTGGCCAAATGTATTTCTTCACAACCTGAAATGATGCTCTAGCACATGGCTGGTTAGAGCATAACATCTGCGATGTTTTTCAATAGAGATGTTATATCATGAAAAGCTTTCATGCCACAAGCAAAAAGAAGATCACTGTAAATTTACATTCAACATGTAAAAACACATAACTTCTGTACATGATAGAGCTGTGTGTATGTTTGCATATGCGCTTCACAAAACAAAAATTTACATTTTGTCTACTATCGAAGGGAGTGAGGAGAGACTGATGTTTAATGAACATCCACAATGTGCCAGGTGCTTTGCAAGCGTTATCTTCTCATTTCATCCTCACAGCAGATCTAGGAGGTATAGACTATTGCTGTGACCATTTTATGAGTGAGGAAAGGAGGCTCTGAGAGGTTTAACAATTTGCCTGAGGTCACACAGAAAGCAACCTTTGTACTTCCTGCTACTTGGAGCTGCCTCCTCAAGTTCCAACAAACAGTTTTGTTACCTCCTCCCGTACAGATCTGTAAATCTTCCTGCTAAAGTCATTTTTGTGGTTCATGGTAAAATGCTGCCAAAAGAACTGAAAGAAATAGAAAGAGTCTTTGTTAAGAACAGAAATGACGGGTCATTTCCAGAAGATACAGTACAAGAGTTCAATTTCATCATTAATTAGTATCTCATGTCTATGGGATGAGATGTTCTTCTGTATCATATTTAGGAGATACTTAAGTTACAGTCCAAGCACAAACTGAAAATGACCTGTTCTACCATTTTTATCCACAACTTCCCTCACAGTTCTTAGACGATCGTCTCGACTGTGACAGTATTACAGTTGTCTTCCTGGCGCCTGGGTTGCATTTCATCTTTGAAAGCCCTCGTCAGAACAACTTTTAAGGACTCCTTGAATCGCTTCTTCTTACTGCTCCCCACAAAGAAGTAAATGAAAGGGTTGGCGCTACTGTTGATGGTGGAGAAGAGCAGGGAAATGTGGTGGAGATTCCCAAAGGTGGACCAATACTCATAGTACAGCAGGTAAAGGAGTCTCATGGGCATGGCGAAGATGAGGAATATGATGATGGTGACCATGATGACGATGTACAGCTTGGAGGAATGGGAAGCCCAGGTGTTCTTCCGGATCTTCATGACCAAGATGGTGCTGGACACCAGCATGAGGGGCGTGAAGACCAGGAAGCTCAGGACGGCTATAAAGATGATGACCGCCCGGCAGTCACTTCGAGAGTGACTCTCTTCCTCTCTGTCGATGCACATGACATACTCCATGGTGGTCACCAAGCAAGAAAGAGCCCACAGAAGGGCACAGACCAACGCCGACTGGTACTTGGGGCGATGGCATCGGTACCAGATGGGGTAAAGGACGGACAGGCACCTCTCCACACTAATGGCCGTCAGCAGATAGAGGCCCGTGTTGTAGCCAAACAGAAAAGTCACCGATAATGTGACAATTGTGTAGTAATGGCCAGAAGAAAGCTCATAATCTAAAGCATAGTCAATAGACAGGATGAAAATACAGAAGAGCAGTGAGATGTCTGCAATAGACAAGTGGGTGATGTAGACAGTGAAGGGATTTCTTCTCATCCGGAAGCACAGGAACCAGAGGAGAATTCCATTCTCAACAAACCCCACTGGGGAGATGCTCATGATGACCCAATGCACGATGGGGATTTGCCGATATGCATTCCCGGCTGAGGCATTCCCGCTGGTGGAGAAGTTCGTAGGTTCCTCAACAACAAATGATGTCACGTTTGACCCATCCATGAGGAGGCCTCAGGCTAGACCTCTTCAGGTAATTTTCTATAAATACGTCCAAAACAAAAACAAACACAAACAGCCATGAAAATTGTTGGATCGGAATAAAAGGGAGAAATTCAGCTATAAGTCATCATCTTCATGTTATAAATAAAAAAGTTTAACAGAATGTACAATTATCTTTACCACAATGATAAGATTAGACCTTTAGGACCTGATAAGAAAGATAACTTAGACCTGATAAGAGAGAGAACTGATTGAATGACCCTTTTTGATCTCCAGTGATAGCCATTCATTCTGTGTTATTGTCTGCTTGTGGCCAGGCAAGAGTGGTGGAATCCCCTGGGGAGAATCCATTTCCAGTTCTGGCTCAAGCTCTCCTAATGGCATTTTGAAAATCATCTTCTGTGCCTCTATTTATGTGCCAGAGGGAGCAGGTTTACTGCATCGAGACTTGATGACAAAATGCACGTTTGGGCAGTGCTGCCACTCTTTAATACATGAAGCGCCATAAGCAGTGGGTAAGGAGAGGCAGTGCCTGGGACAATGGGTTTAACACTGTACCAATATTGCTTAAAGTGTGAACAACAAAAAGGCATTTATTTCACACAGCTTCGGTATCTGCGACAAAGCTGGGCACCTGCTCAGACTACGTAAGCCAGGCAAGCCAACGCTGTGTGGAGTGGATGGAGACCCCTAACAAGATGTATGTTCATCCCCACAGATCACAGGCCAGATGGTGCAGGAAACACCATTGCCAGATGCCAGGCAAAGCACTCACCCAACCAGGAAAAATGCTCAGCATTTGAGGCAGCGAAGTAAAGATTCTCAGAAACATCCCCCCACACTTTACCAATTACAAAATCAATATATGCACAGCTCTGCCCTGTTGCTATAACAAAACACCTCACCACCGGGAAGGAAAAGGAGGCTGTCAACGAGATCATTTCTCTTGTTTCAAATCTAACCTGCCTTTGGTTTTGAAATGTGACTTTTAGGCTGGACACCGTCGCTTATGCCTGCAGTCCCAACACTTTGGAAAGCCAAGGCATGGGGATTGCCTGAGCCCAGGAGTTTGAGAACCTGCCTGGGCAACATGGCAAACCCCGCCTACACAAAAAATATAAAAATCAGCCAGGCATGGTGGCGTATGCCTGTAGTCCCAGCTGCCTGAGAGGCTGAGGTTGGAGGATCTCTTGAGCCTGGGAAGTTGAGGCTGCAGTGAGCCATGATCACGCCTCTACTCCAGCCTGGGTGACAGAGCAGACCCTGTCTCAAAAAATATGTTTTTCCTAGTTGGTGTGTGTGCATGTGCATAGGCATGAATAAAACATTGTTTTTTGCTTTCTGAATTTTTTCCTTAGGAAGTCGATCAAAAGAATATTTTTAATGAGTAGATATCTGCCTTTTCCTCATGAGCTCACCTGAAGCAGAATAATACATAAATGTGTTATTTTGTGGCATGTGAATGGCTCTGGTGATATTAGATGTTTCCAGAACTGAGTCAGCAGAGCCCCAGCACATGCAGGACCCTGGGACTAATCTCAGTACAGCCGGGCCTGGATCTTGGGCCAGCAGGTGGCCTTTGGGTTGGCAAAATGGGTGTTTCCTTCCAGCAATGTGATCCGGGCACCCAGGAGGCCCCTGCTTCCATGGTCCCAGTCACGCCTCTCCCACTGACACTTCGCTCAGCTGTTCTAGTACGATGCAGGAAATTGCCTTCACTGGAGGAGAGCCTCCTTTTACTCCATAGTTAGAAGACAGGGTCCCCACACAGGATGAGAGCTCACATGCCATGTCATGGCTAACCAAAGACCTGCTGTAGAGACCAGGCCTTGTGAGACGTTTGCAAGTAAGACCACCATGTTCCCCAAATTCTCCCTCCACACATTTACCCCCACGCCAGGCACTGCTCTAGGCACTGGGACACGGCAGGAATAAAGTGCCGAGCTGGTGGAGTCTATATTCTGGTGGGGAGGCGTCAGCCAGCAAAAACAATAACAGCAACAACAAACAAGCTGATGTCAGAGAATAAAAAGTGCAAGGAAGAAAGGAAAGCAGCATTAAAGGCAAAGGAGAGGCTGGGCACGGTGGCTCAGGCCTGTAATCCCAGCACTTTGGGAGGCCGAGGCAGGTGGATCACGAGGTCAAGAGATCGAGACCATCCTGGTCAACAAGGTGAAACACCGTCTCTACTAAAAATACAAAAATTAGCTGGGCATGGTGGCACGCGCCTGTAATCCCAGCGACTCGGGAAGCTGAGGCAGGAGAATTGCCTAATCCCAGGAGGCGGAGGTTGCGGTGAGCCAAGATCGCGCCATTGCACTGCAGCCTGGGTAACAAGAGCGAAACTCCGTCTCAAAAAAAAAAAAAAAAAAAAAAGGCAAGGAGTGGCAGAGACTGAGGTTCCCTCGTCCATAGAGTGATGGGAAAAGTCTCACTAGTGAGGTCACACTTGGGCAAAGACATGAAGGAAGTAGGTGACATAGCCCTGCAGGTTCTCGGGGGGAAAGTATTCCAGGCAAAAGGAACAACAAGTTCAAAGTTCCAGAAGCAGGAGCCAGCCAGGAGTGAAGAACCGCAGGAAGGCCAGCAAGGCTAGGACGGCCTGGCGAGAACAGTCAGGTGCTGAGGGCACGGGTCTTTGGCGGTCAGGTGCCAAAGGGCTTTGCAGGCTGTTGCTTTTACTCCCAGTGAGACAGTAAACCACAGGAGGTCCTGAGAGGTCTGAGAGGAGGAGTGGGGTTAACTTGAGGGGACTGAGGCGTGAACAGCCTTGGCGTGGCCTCCATGTTCAGGTGACACTCTAGGGGCCATGGCAGGAAGGAGGAGGCCAGGTGGGAGGTAAAGGCACTGTTCTGGACACAGGGAGAATGTTAGCATGGACCAGGTTGTGGCAGAGGCAGTCATATCTGGTGCGAGGTCTTTGATTTGATTCACTGACAGAAGACACAGGTGTTGTGGTAGAAAGAGAGAATACCTGTTTAGCCATTTGCTGAATGGACAGGTGTGGGTGCAGCAGGTTAGCAGGGGCTATGGGGTTTGAGAAGCCTGCAAGGTGGCCAGGGCCATGTCCAGAGGAGCGTCAGGAGCCGGGGACAGTTGTAGCCTGGGGATATGAATGTGGGTGTTGTATGCAAACAGGTAGAATTTGAAGCCATGGGTCAAGCCAAGATATGAGTGTCTGTGAAATACAGGCAATTAAAAAGGAGAAGAGGCTCGAGGACTGGGCCGCAAGCATTTCAAAATTAGAGGCTGAAGAGATGAAGAAGAAGGTGAGAAAACTGAGGAGGGCCTGACAGAGACACAGGAGGACGACTGGGGGAAAGGGCACCCAGGAGGCCAGGTAAGAACAAGCTTGAGGAGAAGGAAGTGTAATCAGCTGGGCTAAATTCTACTACAAGTTCAAGTGGGCTGAGACCTGGAACTTGATATTGACCATGGGAGTGGAGCCATTGCTGACCGGGGTCAGAGCAGTTTCAGTAGACCAGACAAAATGAATGCCTGATGCAAGCGGTTTAGAGAGAATGGGAGGAGAGTAGGTGGAGACAGTGAGTGTAGACAACCCTCTTGGGGGCTGTGGGGTTAAGAGAGGGGTGATAGATGGTTAAGAATTATCCACCCTATTGTCAAAATTGAAAGAGCTAGAGGAGCAAGATCAAAAAACTCAAAACCTAGCAGAAGACAAGAAATAACTAAGATCAGAGCTGAACTGAAGGAGATAGAGACACAAAAAACCCTTTTAAAAAAAAAATAAATCCAGGAGCTGGTTTTTCGAAATGATCAACAAAATAGACAGACCACTAGCCAGATTAATAAAAAAGAAAAGAGACAATAACCAAATAGATGCAATAAAAAACAATAAAGGGGAAATCACCACAGATTCCAAAGAAATTCAAACCATCATCAGAGATTATTACAAACAACGCTATGCACATAAACTAGTAAACCTGGAAGAAATGGATAAATTCCTGGATACTTGTCTCCTCCCAAGCCTAAACCAGGAAGAAGCTGAAACCCTGAACAGACCAATAAAAAGATCTGAAGTTGAGGCAGCAATTAAGAGCCTACCACACAAAAAAAGCCCAGGCCCAGATGGGTTCACAGCCGAATTCTACCAGACACACAAAGAGGAGCTGGTACCATTCCTTCTGAAACTCTTCCAAATAATCCAAAAAGAGGGAATCCTTCCCAGATCATTTTATGTGACCAACATCATCCTGATACCAAAACCCGGCAGAGACTCAACAAGAAAAGAAAACTTCAGGCCAATATCCATGATGAACATAGACGCAAAAATCTTCAATAAAATACTGGCAAGCCGATTGCAACAGCACATCAAAAAGCTTATCCACCATGATCAAGTAGGATTCATCCCAGGGATACAAGGCTGGTTCAACATACACAAGTCTATAAATGAAATTCACCACATAAACAGGACCAAAGACAAAAACCACATGATTATCTCAACTGATGCAGAGAAGGCCTTTGACAAAATTCAACAGCCCTTTATGCTAAAAATCCTCAATAAACTCAGTATTGATGGAATGTATCTCAAAATAATAAAAGCTATTTATGACAAACCAACAGCCAATATCATACTGAATGGGCAAAAACTGGAAGCATTCCCTTTGAAATCTGGCACTAGACAAGGATGCCCTCTTTCACCACTCCTATTCAATATAGTACTGGAAGTTCTAGCCAGAGCAATCAGGCAAGAAAAAGAAAGAAAGGGTATTCAAATAGGAAAGGAGGAAGCCAAATTGTCTCTATTTGCAGACGACATGATAGTATATCTAGAAGACCCCATCATCTCAGCCCAAAATCTCCTGAAACTCATAAGCAACTTCAGCAAAGTCTCAGGATACAAAATCTATGTGCAAAAATCACAAGCATTCCTATACACCAATAACAGACTTAAAGAGAGCCAAATCAAAAATGAACTGCCATTCACAATTGCTACAAAGAGAATAAAATACCTAGGAATACAACTAACAGGGAATGTAAAGGACCTCTTCAAGGAGAACTACAAACCACTGCTCAACGAAATAAGAGAGGACACAAACAGATGGAGAAACATTCCATGTTCATGGTTAGGAAGAATCAATATCGTGAAAATGGCCATACTGCCCAAAGTAATTTATAGATTGAATGCTATCCCCATCAAGCTACCAATGACCTTCTTCACAGAACAGGAAAAAACCACCTTAAACTTTATATGGAACCAAAAGAGAGCCCGCATAGCCAAGTCAATTCTAAGCAAAAAGAACACAGCAGGAGGTATCACACTACTGGATTTCAAACTATACTACAAGGCCACAGTAATCAAAACAGCATGGTACTGGTACCAAAACAGAGATATAGACCAATGGAACAGAACAGAGGCCTTGGAGGCAACACAGTGTTTCTACAACTGTCTGATCTTTGACAAACCTGACAAAAACAAGCAATGAGGAAAGGATTCCCTGTTTAATAAATGGTGTTGGGAAAACTGGCTAGCTATGTGCAGAAAGCAGAAACTGGACCCCTTCCTGACACCTTACAGTAAAATTAACTCCAGATGGATTAAGGACTTAAACATAAGACCTGGCAACATAAAAACCCTAGAAGAAAATCTAGGCAAAACCATTCAGGACATAGGAGTAGGCAAGGACTTCATGACCAAAACACCAAAAGCACTGGCAACAAAAGCCAAAATAGACAAATGGGACCTAATCAAACTCCACAGCTTCTGCACAGCAAAAGAATTATCCAGTGAAAAGCAAATAATTGAGGAGTCGGGAAGTAGGGGTCTAGAGCTGGGTGGAGTCACGGCCTTCGCCAGAGCATAATTTATACCTGGTGAAGGGGAGGGCAGCATGTGTGGCTGCAGATACAGTGAGGTGGGTAGAGGTGGCTGTGGGAGTGCCCAAGGTGAGAAGTTGTCTTCTGAATGCACAGTATCTCTTTATCAGCGAAGTAAGGAGCAAAGTCAGCAGCAAAGAGTGAGGAGATGTTAAGGGTTTAAGGAAAGAGGGCAAGATGTGAAACAAGTGAGTGACAGGAAGGGCTAGGGCCATGTGGGAAGTGCAGGATCTCCAGCCAGGCTAACCTGGATCCCGCCTGGGCTGGTGCTCGGGAACCCGGGAGAGACCATTCAGCCTCGCCTGTGCTGCTCTCCAGCTCGGTTCAGCTGTCCAGGAGCCAGCAAGCAGAAAGGGGAGGGCTGGATTTTACCAGGGCTGGGGGTTACCAGGCGGGTACGAAGCAGAGCTGGGGGCAAAGGAAGCGAACCATGTGGAAGCCAAGGGTAATCGCTTCTCAGCCTTTTGGCTAAGATCAAGTGTGGAAGCCAAGGGCTACAATGGTGGGATGTGGAGCCCAACGGGATTAGGAGAAAAGTGAGGGCACGAGGGAGATAACAGACGTGATCAGGAGATAGCGACATATCAGAGGTCCCAGTAGTGTCAGGGAATCATTGAAGTCCCCATACTAAAGGCACTGAAGGGGATGTAGGACGTGGGGGCTGAGGAACATGATGCTTGAAACTGGGCTTGCGGCAGTGTAGTTTTAGGGTTACCTGTATTAAGTGCCCAGCATGACCGTGGAAAAGAAGAGATGAGGGAGGGTGGAGGACAAGATCATTTGAGCTGAGAGCAGAACCTGGAGACGCAGGGCCGGAAGAATCATCCCCAGATGCTGAAATCGCTGAGAAATAGTGTTGGAGACCAGAAATATCGATGGAAAAAATGGCTGTAATCAAATCATCGGGGAATTTGGGAGAGCAGCCCAGGGGTCTGAAGTGGCCACAGCAAGGACGGTGGACAGCGGTACAGCGGCCAGCACGCGCTTCAGAGCCGGTGTTCTGTTGCTCCTGCTGCTGCTGGTGTGGAGAGAGGGAAGGAAAGTAACTCAGAGTACACAAAAGTCGGGGTAAGAAGGGCCTGGACCGCGCTGTCCAACAGAAACATGACAGGTGGGCCACCTGTGTAAGCGAAGTAGGAGCCACATTAAAGCAAGTAAAAAGAAACCAGCAAAATCCGTTTGAATAACGTACTTCATTTAGCCTAATGTGTTTAAAATATTATTTCAACAGATCCTCAACACAAAAAATATATTCTTTTCTACACTGGTGTATACTTAGTAGTCCCCCAGATGCAGCGGGTATTTCGCTCTTGCAGGGCGCCTTGCTTCCGATGAGCCCAGTTTTCTATGCTCAGGAGCCTCATGTGACTCGGGCTCCCGTGTTGGCCAACACGGGTTGACAGCTATGGCAAAACCGAAGTTGCTTATGCAAGGAAGCCAAGTGCCTTCATCTTTTAATTACAAACCCAGACCAAAGACTAGAAATGTAAAATCAGGACCTAATCTGAGTTTTTGAGAATATTGACAAGGACGTCTTTCTGCCTCCTATCCAGGCCCTGGGATTTCTCATCACATCCTTTAGCTGCAGCTTTGTGCTGTGTGGAGAGAGCTCTCAGTTACCCCAGGTCGCCTCCCCTTCTCCATCATCTAACTCGCTCATCCTAGATTAAAAGCGTGCTCCTTTTCCACCACTGACCCATCCTCCCAAGTGACCTGTCCTACATTTTCCTTTTACAATACCAGTTTCTACTTCTGTATTCAACTTTTCTTCCTTTCCCCAAAAGTTTCCAAGTAAATTCACAAAAGTCAGCTGGGAAAGGTGTTTCAGATAGTATCTTCTTTTGAATTTTTTTGTATTTTTTTAGAGATGAGGTCTTTCTCTGTTGCCCAGGCTAGAGTACAGTCATGTGGTCATAACTCACTGCAGGTTGAACTCCTGGGCTCAGATAACACTCCTGCCTCAGCCTCCCAATCACTGGGCCTACAGGTACATGCCACCGTACCTGGCTAATTTTTCTTTTCTTTTTATTTTTTTAGAGATGGGGCCTCGCTATGTTCATAGCCAAGATATAACAAACCCTAACCCTAACCCTATACTCTCCTTGTAACAAAGCAGAGTTAAAATATTTTTAATTTAAAAAAATACATTTTTTAGAGAAAGTCTCACTCTGTTGGCCAGGCTAGAGTGCAATGGTGCATCCATAGCTCACTACAGCTTCAAACGCCTGGGCTCAAGCAATCCTCCCCTCTTAGCCTCCTGAGTAGCCAAGACAACAGGCATGTGCCACCACACCTGGCTAATTTTGTTTTTAATTTTTTGTAGTGTTGCCCAGTCTGATCTCAAACGCCTGACCTCAAGCGATCTATCTGCTTTGGCCCCCCAAAGTGCTGGGATTACAGGTGAGAGCCACTGTGCCCAGCCTCAGAGTTAAAATTATATCTTCTTGATTGTTGTGGATGGAATTGTGTTCCCTTCCAAAATGCATATATTGAAGTCCTAATCCTCAATGTGACTATTTGGTGACAGGGCCTTTAGGGAGGTAATTATGGCTAAATAAGTTCCTAAGAGTGAGGCCCTAATCCAACAGAAGTGGTGTCCTTGTAAGAAGAGGAAGAGACATAAGAGATTTCTCTCTGTGGGGGCACAGAGGAAAAGCCAGGTAAGGACAGAAAGAAAAGGCAGCCATCTGCAAACCGGGAAGAGAGCCCTCACCACACCAGCCCTGCCAGCGCCTCAACATTGGACTCTGGCCTGCCGAACCGTCACTTATGCCATTTCTGTTGCATAAGTCACCAAGTCCATGGTGTTTTGTTGCGGCAGCCGGAGCAGCCTGATATACCCACTAAACTGCAAACTCCTTGGAAATAGGACTTTATCTTATTTGCATCTGGATCTCCAGTACTTGTACACAGCAGGCATTTAATAAACACTTATTGAACTGTTTCAAGAAGTAACCCCCATTATAACAGTTCTAAGAACACACTCTGCTTCTCCGTGAGAGAAAACGACGACTTTCAGTGCAGGGCATCACACTTAACACCCGTGGTTTTCTAATGGTTAGAGCGCAACTCATGAAGCACATACAGTATTCAGGCAGATTTTGATCACGATGTGGATTTTAGTCATGATCGGAATGCTCATCAAAAAATTCCATCAAAACTAGTTCTCATTTAAAAACGAGTCATAATCCTCCAAATTGTTTTTATAGTGGGGCTCTATTTAAATGAACACATTGCTAAAAATCCTATTCCCAGTCTTACCCCACTGACTGAGTTTCAGTCTCTGAAGTGAAATAGCAGATGGCAAGAAATGCCTTGATGACAGCCAGCCCTACGTGCTCACCACCCCAACCCTTTCCTCCCCCGGCTCCTTGGTCATTTTGTGTATTCTTCATCTCTGTCGGTGGATGACTGACTGGGATATTTGAGGTTGGGAAGTGTAGGGAAAGTAGAAGGGTAATTGATGCTAGCTGACAAAACAGTCTAGCTCAGAATAATTTAGTGTTGGCTCAGTGAGCCTTCCCCAGCAGCAGAGAGAAGACCACACAGTTGATATCTCAGAAAGCCATGCAGACGAGGTAGGCACTTGCATAGCAGGGTAAATTAGAGGGTAGCTTCTCTCTGTGTCAACCCAATTCTAGGACAAGAGGCTCTCTGCCCAGACATGCCAAACATTTTTCATTATCTTTTTTTTTTTTTTGAAACAGGGTCTTGCTGTATTGCCCAAACTGGAATGCAGTGGTGCAATCATAGATCACTGCAGCCTCAACTTCCTGGACTCAAGTGATCCTCCCACCTCAACCTCCTGAGTTGCTGGGACTACAGGTGCTCACCACCATGCCCAGCTAATTTTTGTTGTCATTGTTTATTTCTTACAGAGATGGGGTCTCGCCATGTTGTCCAGGCTGGTCTTGAACTCCTGGGCTCAAGTGATCCTCCTGCCTCAGCCTCCTAAAGTCCTGGGATTACAGGCATCAGCCACCACACCTGGCCGGCAATCATTTTTCTCACACAGCACTTCCATTTGCAGGGATGCATGTTTACCTGGCAGTGACAGCCTGGGATGGAAGGACAGCTCATCCTGACAGCCCTCGGTGGTACCTGGAGCGCTCAGTTACAGGGCAGCGGAATCCTCAGTGGGAACGGAGTGCAAAGACGGCCAAGGAGGTAACGGCACCATGACTGGTCAGCATTATCGGCAGCATCACAGAGCATCTGCCCTCCTCTCTTCCTTCTCATGAAAGAGATGTCTAGGGAGAGAGAAATAAGTTAGACTGAGAATACCGTGGTGTGGGCGCTTGAGGCCAAAGCACCTCTCCTTCCAGCCTAGCTTTGGAGCCTTGCAATCAGTTTGAGAGGCTGATAAGGATAATGTCATTGCCCTTTTTTTAGAGGGAAAAACCTAAGGATTAATAACCAGGCCAGGCTCAGAGCCACCGTGATGCACAGCCCGAAAGTGTCCACCATCTGCATTTGCTCCAGTGTGTCCAGTGCTCCCTGGGTCCTGCAGGACTGTAGTACCCAGAAACTTATGTGGATCCTAATTCGCAGTGCTGGCCAGGCAGAAATCCAGGTCACCTGACTTCTGACCACAAGCTGAGACAGGAAGAAAAAGAGGAAGAAGAGGAAGGAGGAGGAGGAAGGAGGAGGAGAGAGGAGAAGGAAGAAGGAAGGGGGAGACAAAGAAAGAGGGAGAAGGAAGAAGAGGGAGGAGGAGGGAGGAGGAGGAAGAAGGAAGAGGGAGACAAAGAAAGAGAGAAAAAGAAGAAGGAGGAAGAGGAGGAAGAGGGAGGAGGAGAAAGGAAGGAGGAAGAAGAGGGAGGAGGGGAGAGGAGGAGGGAGGAAGAAGAAGAGAGAGGAGGAGGGAGGAAGAGGGAGGAGGAGAAGAAGAAAGAGGGAAGAGGAGGAAAAGGAAGGAGGAGGAAGGAGGAGGAGAAGGAGGAAGGAGGAGGAGGAAGAGGGAGGAGGGGAAGGGGGAGGAAGGAGGAGGAAGAGGAGGAAGAAGAGGAAGAGCGGGGAGAGGGAGAAGGGGGAGGAGGAGTAGTCTGGAAATCACTGTTCTGCCAAACCCCTCAACTTTACAGATTAGTAAGTGGTTTCTGGAGAGCCTGTGAGGCAGGCCAACTTTCACAAGCAGTTTGAGAAGCCCTGGAGCCCAGCGCGCCTGATCTTAGCCCAGAGGTCTCTCCACTACACTCTGGGGCCTAATCCTATTTTTAAGACATCACTTTTTATAGCCTCTCTACACTTAAGTTTTCCAATCCAGTCTGCCTCTAACCTTTCCTATTTAAGGAATTAAAATCACCATATTGCTGGGAATATTTTTCAAGACTTGTTTGGGCTAGGTGCGGTGGCTCACGCTTGTGATCGCAGCACTTTGGGAGGTTGAGGCAGGCAGATCACCTGAGGTCAGGAGTTCATGACCAGCCTGGCCAACATGGTGAAACCCCATCTCTACTAAAAATACAAAAATAAGCCAGGTGTGGTGGCAGTGCCTGTAATCCCAAGTACTCGGAGGCTGAGGTGGGAGAATCACTCCGGGAGGAGGAGGATGCAGTGAGCTGAGATCGCACCACTGCACTCCGGCCTGGGCAACAGAGTGAGGCTCTGTCTCAAAAAAGAAAAGAAAAGAAAAAAAAAAAAAAAGACGTGTTTAATTTCTCATTGTGACTTTGTCACTGTGTGCTCTCTGCAAGTGAAATAGTCCACAGGGACTGATCAAACCACTCCTGCCTGTTCCAAGAGCTCTGCCCTTAACAAAAAGTTACCCTGAAACCATCTTTGCAAAAATTATAACAGTAAGAAAATTATGACCGTGAGAAATCTCACCTAACTGATCCCATCTTGCTTCTAAACTCTAAGCTCCCCTTGTTCATTCCTGGGCATAGGCTGAACTAACATTGGGAGAACTTAGTTTATAGTTTAACTTTGGAACAAAGACAGTAACAGCCCTTTCCCAAAACAAACCCACTTCTTGCTGGGCCCAGAATGCCTTTGTGAGACTAACAAGCTAGGCACAAGATTCAAAATTATGGTTTAGGAGTCATGCAGCTAGAGGCCACAAGATTCTGTACCTCCCCAATTGCTCCTAAGGATAAATCACTATTGTAAAATCTAATATTGGTGCTCAAGATATTTTTCAGACCCTGGGCGTTCTGATGCACCAGCTGGTGCCACCCAGACAGGTAATCTGGCTCAGCCAGTTCTGTGATATCACCCGGAAACAGAAGAAGCAAAACAACCTCCTTCACCTTCCTGTGACTTCATCCTCCGACCTGACCAGTCAGCACTCCCCACTCACTCCCTGGTCCCCGACACCCCAAATTATCCTTATAAAACCCCATTCTCTGAATTTTCAGGAAGACTGATTTGAGTCCTAAAACTCTTATCTGTCGTTTAGCTGGCTCTGCATGAATTAAACTCTTTCCCCATTGCAATTCCCCTGTCTTGATAAATTGGCTCTGCCTGGGCAGCAGGCAAAGAGAACTCTTTGGGCAGTTACAGTCACAACAGGGCTCATTTTATAGCCTGTTTCATCTTAACACAAAACGGGGGTATTTTCTTCTAAATGTTACCGCCTTTCTTCTAATTTTAAAACAGTATGTGTTCATTGAAGAAAATTCGGAAAATCCACACATACAACTACTACTAAAAATTAACCCCATTCAACATTTGGGATAGTCCATTAGTCTTTTTTTCCATGTCTTACTCCACTCGTTCTTAAAATTGAGATGGCATTTTATAACCTTCTAGTATCCTCACTTTCTACCTTTGTCCATGCAATAACATATTGTAAACATTTTCTCACTTTTCTCACATTTCAGACTTTTGAGTATATACTCAAAGTCTGGGGTGGTATCATGATTGATTGATTTATTGATATCTTTGAGACAGGGTCTCTCACCCTGTCACTCAGGCTGGAGTACAGCAGCGAGATCACAGCTCACTGCAGCCTGAGTCTCCTGGGCTTAAGTGAGCCTCCCAGGTAGCTGGGACTAGAGGTACATGCCACCATGTCAGCTACTTTTTTATATTTTGTGTAGAGATGGGGTTTTGTCATGTTGCCCAGGATGGTCTCGAACTCTTGGACTCAAGTGATCCTCCTGCCTTGGCTTCCCACAGTGCTGGGATTACAGGCGTGAGCCACTGTGCCCAGCTTTCCTCATTTATTTTTAATAACCCCCCAGCCTTGGACATACCATTTGCTTCTGATTTTTTGTCTCTATTTTTAAAAACAAAGCACAGTAATGAATTTGTATGGATGCAAATTTTGTGCACATCTCCAATTATTCCCCTAGGACATATTTCTCAAAGTGGAATTGCTAGACCAAAGGGTGTAAACATTCTTCAAGATTTAAACATGTATTAACAAACTGTCATCCAAAATAACCATGCCAATTATATTAATACCAACATCAATGGTAGATAATTTTTTTTCACAGCATATATGCCTCTTTTTTTTTACACATCTTCAGTTTCTTTTTTTTTTTTTTTTTTTTTGCGAATATATTTTTTATTTAGTCATTCTGTTTACAATTGAAACTCTGGGAATTCAAAATTAACGTCCTTGCCCGTGAGCTTCTTATAGACACCAGAAAAAGTTTCAACCTTGTGTTCCACATTGTTCTGCTGTGCTTTGTCCAAATGAACCTTTATGAGCCGGCTGCCATCCAGTTTCACGCGGATTCTCTTGCCCACAATTTCACTTGGGAAGACCAGGTCCTCAAGGATTGCATCATGCACAGCTGTCAGTGTACGGCTCCTGGGACGCTTTTGTTTATTTTTTGTACGGCTTTTTCAAGTTGGTTTAGGCAGAATTCTCCTCTGGGCGATAAAGACAACATGCTTCCCACTGAACTTTTTCTCCAATTCGCGTACTAGCCGGACTTGGATTTTGTGGAAAGATTTTAGTTGAGGAACAGGAACAAGGATTATGATAGCTTTCCGGCCACCACCAACTTCAATTTCCTTGGCTGCCGTAATATTCAGCTCCCTGAGCTGAGCCTTGAGATCCGAGTTCATCTCCAGCTCCAGAAGAGCCTGGGAGATGCCGGACTCGAACTCGTCTGGCTTCTCGCCATTGGGCTTCACGATCTTGGCGCTCGAACTGAACATGGCTTTCTCCTTGGCGAGTGCCGACTTAGGAAAAGCCATCTTCAGTTGCTTAAATTCCCAAGTGTGTAGGTAATACAACACCTTGTTTTCATGTGTATTTATTTGATTGTTAATAAGGTTGAACATTCTTTCATGTTAACAGTTACTTGTATTTTTCAAGGGATTTTTTTATACTCTTTATTTCTTTCTTTTATTGAATTGCAAGAAATCATTGTAACTATGACACTTGGTCATATATGTTACAAATTATTTCTCCCCAGAAACTGGAGTATTTTATTAAAAACCTGAAAGGATGCTGCTTGGAGTTTTCTTAAAAACGCTTCCTTATTGATGAAGTCCGACCGTCCTCTGCTAATCATTAAGATTTAGAGCTTGAAAAAATCATGCAGACACTGCAAACCACCCCCTTGTTTTTCCAGGTGAGGAAATTAACTCAGGACTAGTCCAAGGTTACATACTTAGTAACAAAGGCAGCAGCGGGGCCTGGATTGCCCAGGTCCAAGTTGGCGCTATATCTAGCCCTCCCCTGCCCCACCCAACACACACACGCACCAGCTCATTGTCAACAGTCTATCTATGTGTGAAGTTCACACACCCATTCGTGAGGCTGTTAGGACCTTGGGAACATTTATTAATGGCTTTTATGTCGCCAGAAGCAACCAAACAATCAACTTCATTGTCAGTAATTATCTTTATTAACAACCTTAAAAGATGGATTCTTTTTATTTATCAAAGGATGGATCTTATTTATCAAATAATGGATGTTTATTTATTAAAGCACCATCCACCCAATACCAAACCCAGAACCAAAACAACACAAACACACAGGAATGAGTTCTTTTCAGAAATACTGTCTCTGTTTTCACTTTCTTCTGTGAAACAGAGTGGCTCATGGCCATCACCATGATCAATAAACAGTTCTATAGATGAAGAACACCACACTTTGCCATTATGGGTAAAGATCATTGATGTCAGAGGGAGAAGAAATTCAGGCGTGTCCTTTCATCAGAACAAAGAGGAGAAGTGAGCCAGTCCATTCAACAGTGCAGCGCTCTCAGCCAAGTCCTCCAGAAGGGGGTGAGGCACGATCTCAGGCTCAAGCCCCTCCCCAGCGCACGACTGTTGCTATGGAGCCTCACTCCCTGTCTCCCCGCTGCTGTCTCTGAGATGATGCTAGAGCCTCACAGTGGAACCTCACTCCCTGTCTCCCCGCTGCTGTCTCTGAGATGATGCTAGAGCCTCACAGTTTCTTCCCTCTGGCTCTCCTCCTGCCTTCCTGCAGTTCTTCTGTCTCCCTCTCTGGATCTCTTCTCACACTGCCCTTGTGTCTCAGAGTTCCACCAGGATCCATTCTTTTTTTTTTTTTCTGAGACATGGTCTCACTCTGTTGCCCATGCTGGAGTGCGGTGGTGCCATCTCTGCTCACTGCAGCCTCCGCCTCCCGGTTTTGAGCAATTCTCCTGCCTCAGCCTCCCAGGTAGCTGGGACTACAGGTGCCCATCACCATGCCCAGCAAATTTTTTTGTATTTTTAGTAGAGATGGGGTTCTGCCATGTTGGCCAGGCAGCAGACTCCATTGTCGACCCTCTTCCCTTCCTACTCCACAGACTCTTTTTGGGTGGTCTTGTCCAATCCCACCATTTCAAAACATCACCACTTGCTGATGAAATCCAAATGCACAGCTTTAGCTCACATATCTCCCCAGCATATCAGAGCCATATAACCAACAGCCCCAGGTATGAGAGGCCCAACTGGGCCTCTCATGGTGGCAGCAGCCTCAGTGAGCCAAAACAGAAATCCAACCTTCCCCGATGGGCCACACTTCTTCCAATATGCCTGGCCTTCCAAGACAAAAAAAAACTGGACATTTTACCATAATCTTGTATGCCACCTGCACCAGTGCCTAGAATCAGCCATTTCTCCAAGGAGCCCTGGTTCCTTTTAGTTAATAATCACATTTAGAAACCAAGATCTGGGTGCAAAATGTGCTCATTGCTAGGAGGCTGTCACTGCTTCCAGGCCCTCTCAGGGGAAGGGCCAAGGAATATATGTATATAGATACATTTATGTATAGTTGTACATACACACACCTACAGCTGCATTCCTGTATCTTTTTATATCTTTATAAAATATATATATATAATCATGAATTGACACCAATATCTCAAGTTTTGACCCACTACCAATGAATTCATTCGCGTTTTCTCCCTCTCCATATTTGTAACTCCCTTCTCTGAGTAACCTGGCTTCCATGGTCGTCTCTGCATTTACTCATTTGATCAACCCATCTAAGAACAGTTGCCTATGTCTGCCACTGCTCTTCCCCTGCCTCTGCACAGACAGCCTCCTCAATTTGTAAAGTCCTTTTACTTCCTGTTGGGCTGATGCTGCCCCTGCCCCCCACCCTGAGACACAGATCTCACCCAGCAGGAGCTCCAGCACCCAGTACCAGTTCCCTGCACCCGCCATGCAGATATCCTCCTGCCCTGCCCAGCACTGATATCCCCTTCCATGCCACCACTGCCACTGCCCTCACCCCAGCGTGGCTGCCCCCATGGGGATGATCCATGTCTGTTCAGGCTCCAGCACCTCAAACAAGCCACCGCAATCCAGGCTAACCATGGTAGAAAGTAGGACTTATTCCCACCACCCACCTGCAAAACTCAAAGAATTGTAGGCAGTATCGCATCTGAATGCAGAAGAGACTTTTGAGAAGAGAGGTTTGACACTGATCAAAGAATAACACAGAGGCCACTGTCTGTTCTGCCTGTGCCTACGGCTGCTCAGCCTGGGAGCTGCACTTTCAGTCCAACTGACCACTACAGGCAAGTCCTATGTCAAAGTGCTTAGCTCCACTGGGCCTCAACTGCTTCACAGAACTGGCATTTTAATGTATTTGTGAAAGGCTGGGGTATATGAAATACAAGTGCCACCATGAGTCTCATGGAAATGCCAAACTGAGAGAATGAATCAATAAGCAGGGAAAACAACCATGGTGGTTTCCATAGATGTGTAAGGATGTGGCTTTGCAGAGCCCGTGTCCCGGCAGGTCTACCTGAGATTGCCGGCTGCATTTACCTCTCAATGATAGTGAGAGGAACAGATGGATGGGGGAGCTGACAGAAAAAACAAGGAGACTCAGAGTCGGCAGAGAGTTCTAAATGCCATACATTTATGCTTGCTCAAGTGTTCTCTAGAGACCTCAGAAGCAAACAACCCCTTCCACATTCCCATTCAGTTGAGTACAGTCCTCCCATGGCCCCAGATTCCCAGCCTAGCACATCACTCTTAGAAGAAAGAAAGAGGGGGCTGGGGAGGAAGGCAGGGAGAATAAAGGAAAGAGAAAAAGCCAACAAAACTCAGGTTTGAGGAGTGGGCCATCTGAAACTTCCTGTTGTTCCCAGGCAACTTAAAAGAGAGCCTGCCCGTAGGCTGGACTTTCTAGGTGTGCAGATCCAGAGAAAAGGGCAAATTCTTCCCTGTGTGTGTGTGCAGTCACCCGGACAAACAGAAACCCATTTGTGAGATGGAATTTCCATGGCAGGCAAGGGCTCTGAGGGGAATGTACAGGGCAGGAACATCTGTCCTGGTACTAAATGCACCATTCCCACCTTCCCAACACTAGGGCCATCTGCATGGAGAGGCAGAGACTTCTTACTCCCTTTCTAAACATACTACAGGATCAATTTAGAGCCCTGGTATACAAGGGGAGAAGGTGATTTTGTCCCCTAAGGGATGTTTGGCACGACTGGAGATATTTTTGGTTGTCACAGTGGAGAGGAGTGTGCTACTGGTATCTCGCAGGTAGAGGCCAGAGCTGCTGCTAAACATCCCACAGTACACAGGACAGCCCACGCGGCAAAGACTTACCCAGCCCAGGAAGCCAGTGGTGCCCAGTCCACAGCACTCTGCCAGAGGCCAGCTCGTGATCACCTTTTTATTGCTGCACCCACAGCCATCTAACAATACCCTATACATTCTCTCATCAAATTCCCTCTAAGTATCCTGATGGGGAAGTGTTGCTAAAATTCTCGTACCAAAGATCAAGACTGAGCCCCAGATTTCTTTTAATAGATACCTTGTCACCAAAGTGCTGCATGTGACCTTCATAAGCAACAGAAGCTAACACTGATGCCAGTGCCCACTATGGAAAAACGAAGAAAAATCAATGCAGCTTGCCCCAGTGATGCCCAACAGCTGTGAGCCAAGTGATTTCTCCAGAGGAATCGAATTCAGGAGCAACTCTTTCAAAGCTCAACTTCTTTATCATTCATCAGTTTTCATTAAGAACCTTGAAAACCTCCAAGTCCACCATTCGAACTGTGAATTGATCCTAAGATTCTTTCCCCTGCAACAACTTAAAAAAGAAAACACTACTCACAAGTTTCAACCCTGAAGTTGAACAACGATGCCTAGGAACAGTTAACTCAGCAAAGAAGTAAATTTTCTGAAACAAAAGCAGGAGGAGACAGAAATTTTGCCAACACATTCCAACAGCAAACATCTAACACACCAAACAAACAAAAAAGAAAACCAGCACAGAAAACAGTTACCCAGGAAATAGCTTTTTAAAGAGGGGAAATCTTACTCTGGTTGTCAAGGACAGCTGAACAATGAAAAACTGGGACGCGGACTCGCTGGTGTCATTTGCTCAGGAAGGGTCAGAAGTGGCCACAGGCTGGCTTTCCCTTTGCGTCTGGGGCATCAATGCCCAGCCAGCCTGCAGGGTCTCCAGTCCCAACATCTCGAAGGCTGCATGGCTGCAGCCTCTCATCTCGGAAGGAATCAGAGCTGCTCTCCCACTGCTGAAAATATTTGAGAAGTGCCAAGCAGATGGTCCCACGCTTATCAGCAGAAGCTTCCAATGGCATCATTCGGTGACACACTCGAGTGAAAATCTTCACGCCAATCCAGAGCGGGATGTGAACTGATGATAACGCAAGGCAGTGGACCACCTCGAACCACAAAGGCCAGCCAGGGCTAAAGAGAAAGATGACCTGGAGAAATGCCACATGGAAGGGCAAAACCACATGTGTAGTGGAAAGACAGAACCAGCTCAAATTCTCAGTTCGGTTTCTAATTACTCATGTGACCTCTGCCAAGCTCTCTAAGACTTGGTTTTCTCACCTGTAAAATGGAGCTAATAATATGACCTTGACATGTTGTAATGATGGGATAAGACTATGTATAGACCCAGAGAGACACGTGGGAGATATGTGGCTAGACAGTTAAGAATTTGCTCCCTTCCTACAACCCAGTTTCAGAGACAATCACGCTCAATGTATATAAGACCCATGGTGGGGGCCGGGTGTGGTGGCTCAAGCCTGTAATCCCAGCACTTTGGGAGGCCGAGGCGGGTGGATCACGAGGTCAAGAGATCGAGACCATCCTGGTCAACATGGTGAAACCCCATCTCTACTAAAAATACAAAAAATTAGCTGGGCACGGTGGCGCGTGCCTGTAATCCCAGCTACTCAGGAGGCTGAGGCAGGAGAATTGCCTGAACCCAGGAGGCGGAGGTTGCGGTGAGCCGAGATCGCGCCATTGCACTCCAGCCTGGGTAACAAGAGCGAAACTCCATCTCAAAAAAAAAAAAAAAGACCCATAGGATGCAGTGAAAAGCAAACAAGCCAAGGAGCAGGTTCCAGGGGTGGAGGCAGGGTCTGCACCATTGGCCTTGCCCAGACTGCTTCCCAGCCTGGTCTGGGGACTCCTCCTGGGAGCAGCTGTTTCTGTTAGATGCAGACTCTCACCCGTGCAGTCAGGAACATAAGAGCAAATTCCTTTTTCCCTGATCCCTGTTCTGCACTTTTCCTTTTTTTTTTTTTTTTTTTTTGGTTTGTTTTTTTTTCCCTCTCTCTTTTTTTTAAACCAAAAATGGTCAATATGTTACCCATTTTTCAAAGAACCCAATGTGAAGCACCAAAGGCTGAGCAGGAGTATTCTGGATCTCTTGGATCTCAGGTAGCCAAGCCGGAGAACCCAAGCCTGAAGACCCAGCCCTCACTCATGGTAGCATTTTTCTTATGTAAAGGGATTCCTTCATAGATACTGTGCCAAATTATTAAGGGACCCTGGGGACTGATTATATCAAAATGGGTGAGAAGGCAATTTCAGACTCTGTGGGAAAGCAGCCATAGGCACCGATAGATGCAGTTTCCCTCTGACTGATTTCGTAAGCAATAAGACCATAGTCCCAGGGCAGAGCCAAACTACTCTTGTGGGAAGCCTGACCAGCAGTTCGAGTCCTCCTAGAGGGAAGAAGAAAGGGGAGAGGAGAAAGCTTCCCCTGGAGCCAGCAGGCATCTACTGGGTAGGCAGTGCTGAGCACCAAATCAATAGAACAGGTGATTTGCTGGTCTATTGATTTCAGCAAATCAATAGACCAGAAGATCCTGAAGTTGGAAAGGTATTCTCATTACCTGGTTCTGACGTTCCAAGGAAGGAGAAGGTCAGCCTCCTGGAGAACTTTAGTTTCCCAGAGGATGGTCAGAAACTAAAAGGAAACAGGCACCAGCTAAAGCAAACGGCAAGGCAGAAAAGAAAGAGTGCCTGGTGGGAAAGGATCAGAACCACGGCAGAAAACACAATTAGGAGAGAAAGAACAGGCTGCCCAGGAAGGTTCCAATCCCAGCAGGGGAGCAAGAGACCCTGAAGGAAATGTGGGATGGAGATGGGATGGGACAGAGCGATCCTCTCTGCTCCACATTCACTGCTTCTCAGAGCAGGGGCTGTCCAGATGTTATGAACATTTCACCCTGTCCTTATGGGTGCTGTGAAACCCTGCACAGTGACCAACTAGAAGGAGAACGCCGACGTCATTATGTAAGTCAACAGAACTGAGGGCCTCACCGAGTTGCTTTTTCCAGCATCTAACAGAACAGAAGTCTGTCCCCACAGGCAGAGGACAACAAGCTGCCCAACGTGGAAGTTGATAATGGTCACGAAGTGAATGAAGGGCAAGCCACCGTGAAGCTGGAATGGCCTGATGGCTTCTAGGTAGGGAGAAAGTCTCCAAAGGGGCTGGTGGCCGGCTAGGGGAGCCTGAAAGAGGTGGCTCTCTTTGTCCCCGGCTTGAGTGGGTGGCAGAAGGCCCCAGTTGTTTTGTGACTAATTGGCACCACTAACAAAGCAGGAACTATCACAGATGGAGAGGGAGTCGCATTTGTGGCAGATAATGATTTATCCTTAGAGAAAATACAGCAGCTCACAGTAAAAATAAAACTGCTTGCATTTAAGCCACAAATAGGTTGGCTATTTCTGTGCTTGGTTTGTCTTTGTGAGTAATCATTCTCCTCTTGAGAGGTGGGCAGAGTTGCGGGGAAGGAGGTGTACTAACAGCGGGTAACAAAGCAACCGAATCTGGGAAAGAGGAGGGTCTGGAGCTCCAACTTCCGGCGGAAGTTCTAGCATCCACCTCCAAGTCAAACCTTCCAAAGTTCCCTAGAGAAACAACATCCCTCTTTCTCCCATCAAACAACAGAGAACCATAATGAAGAGGGCCTGCTGAAGGGCCTTATGGGAGCAGGGAAGAAGGAAACATATTTACCCACAGCCACGCAGTGGACCCATAAAAGTGGCAGTAGGCACAGTGGTAGGTCCCCAAAGCCCCAAAGTGCCATGGTGCCTTCACTCAGCACTAAACCGAGGGAAGTCTAAAGAATTCACGTCACATCCTAAGATATGTTCCTTATCTGGAAGGAACTCTTCCATGTCCTCCATGCCAAGCCTGTATTCTGGGGGGAAGACCATTAAATGCCTCACTCCCCAGCACTCCCCTCTATGTTAGAAAGATGAAAAGTCAGGGGGGCAGGGGGCTGGGCTGCAGGAATGGAGGGAACGGTCAGTTGCTTGAGTACTCGTTTTCACAGAAGATGGCCTCAGAGTAAGAAGTGGAAACAAACAGAAAGACCACAGAATGGCAGGCAACTGGCTTAGGACAAATGGTCTTGGTTCACCATTCAGAAGCAGAACAACTTCAGGTATGCTAGAAATTTAGACTTGCAAACTTGACCAGAGTGATGAGTGATTCTTTATCCCATCCATTTGATTGACAGAGTCTCAGAGCGGGACTGGTCTGCCCTCTGCCCTCTGGAGCTGCAAAAGAGGCTTTGGATCTCACTGACCAGATAAAAGCCCAAGATAAAACCCTGAGAACAGAACCCTCCCAGGCTGATCGGATCCCCGTCAGCCTCAGGGAATCTTCTCCAGGCTTCTGCTAGCCAACTCCCCCATGGAATTGGTTTGGACAGTCCCCAGTAATAATCTTTAGACTCAGCATACATTTCTTAAACATCAGATCTGAAAGAGAAATGACAACTTCCCCACCATGTGCTTGGTTTCTTCTAACTAGTCAGGTCCACGTGGGGGCACAGTGAGAACGCTACAAAGGGCAGAAACTATATAGGCATGAAAACAGGGAAGCAAACCCACTGGATGCAGTGCAAGTAGCCTTCCAAAAGGAAGGGCCCAAACAGAGCACGGCTGCAGATGAGAACTCATCATGTGGGATGCTTTGCTTTCAGCTCCCAGAGCCCCCCAACCTCTCCTCAATCATACGAATCTGCCCAGAAGGAGACTTCTCATCTGGCACAAGTGCCTTGTGGAGCAGTAAGGAGGATGTGGAGTGACTCAGAAGGAGACAAGCATCCCTAATCCAGGACAGTCCTTCCACTGAGGAGCCGGGGGAGGCTCAGCAAGCTGCTCCCTCCTGCAGGAGAGCCTGGGCTGCTGCTGCCGCCCCAGAGACCATCACAGAGGACAAACTAGACCTCACTAGCTCCAAAAGGAGAACTCCCAACTAATATAGCTCATAGGAATAAGAAAATAAATAAATACCCTTCTGAGTTCTCCAGAATCACCCAATATCATGTCTACAGGGCTGGCTAAAGTTTGCAGTGGGAGAGAATAATTAGAATATAAACCAAGCATGGTATGAGGCAGCCTGGGCCAACACAGTGAATGAAGATGGGGAGGGGATGGGGATGGGGGTGGCACCGGGTGACAGGGCAGGGTGAGGATGGAGAGAAAAGGAGAAGGGCGCACTCCCCCGGCGGGAAGATCAGGGTCTGCCTGAAGAGAGTCACATGCTCTGATGGCTTGGGAAAATACCCTTACCCTGACAAATTTTCCTCTCTTCTTCTCCCCTCTTTCTCTGGGAATCTTTGAAAAAAGGGTCCCCGAGGAAAACCAGTGGCAGAGCCCTTTGCCCAGGACAGACGATCTTGTTCACAGGGACATCCTTAGAGAAAGCTCGCATTAAGTCATGGGTGAAAATACAGAGCACTTCACGATGACTCGCTCTGTCTGATCCGAGAGCTCACCTGCGCTTCAGGTGTGTGTATTCCCGTCTGTCTCTGCTCTAGTTGAGCACCATCTGGACTCAGAGCTACAGAGGAAGTCCTCAGAATTCCTTCGGTTCTTTACTCCTGGGAGTCACAAGGACATTTTCTTAAGTGCTTAATGTTATCCCCATTTTACAGATGAGGAAAGTGAAGCTTGCAGGGTTTAAGTAACTTGCCCTAACGCCCTTGTCAGAGCAAGGAGAGAGTGACTACAGAGTGCACAACCCTCACCGATGCCGAGGACGTAAAGCCTGTAAACTATAAACTCATCTCCATTCTCCTCTTCTTTTTTAAATCTCATTTTCCTCTTTATTTGCTAAATCCAGAACACCATACCAGAAAGTTTTTTCTTGAAACAAGTTTGGAAATGATTGCGGAGTGGGAGACGTTCAGAAGCGTGTGCTCATACTTAGTAAATTCATAGCAAGTCACTGCATGGCAGTCACAGTGCTCCCAGCTCAATATGAGAATAAACGACGGATAATGCACACTTATAGGTATTTTACGGTATCTCTGATTTGGGATGTAGGCTAGAAGTCTGAAGCCTTATAGCTTATTAAAGGAGGATTTCAAGTTAAAGTATTAGACTCCACTTGACTTCAAGATTTATTACAAAGCTACAGTAATCAGCCGGGCGCAGTGGCTCAAGCCTATAATCCCAGCACTTTGGGAGACCGAGGCTGGTGGATCATGAGGTCAGC